AAACATTGTAACCTTGATCTTTCTGTCAGTGGCTATGTTGACGGTACTGAAACTGTTTGTTTTTGTTGAATCCTCTTCCAATTACATTTGTGGTAATAAATAAAACATTACACTCGCTTCAATTTAATATCAAGTTTATGTCCTACTTGAAATAATTTGCACTTGGATAATAAACTTCATATTGCATTAAAGTGAGTGTAATATCCTATAAATACCTTATCCTGACTCAACAAATAAATCTTGCCCTATGCACATGATGCAGGGGTCGACACCTTGAGTTCAATCCAACTTGTTCACAGTTCATGTCGAACTAAAGGTTTATGTTACATAAATAAGAGCAACAAACCCTTTCCATATTCGTCAGAAGAAGGCCTATCGGCTAATAGCTGAGTCAATTTGTGATTCTGACATCATGAGCATGTGTTTATGAATCACAATCAAATAGTGATGATACGAAGTGTTCACGAAAAGGTGAGTGTATCCTGCCTCACTGGTGGCAACCATTGGGAGACATTCCTTTGTTTCAGTACTTTCAGGCTAGCAGACATGTAAACATGTTGAATCAACCCAGTCCTAAAGAAAGAAGGGTTCAAAATTGTTAAGATAGCAAGTAATGAAAGGAAACAACCACAAATCAAAAAGGATGACATCTCTTGAAGATGTCTTGTGAATGACATCATGCGTATGTGACGTCAACGTGTTCATTATGCCAGATAACAAAGGAACTGGATGTTCCTTGCACAAATCAGACAATCTGCCACACATTAGCTTCGCTTATTCAATGATGTTAAGATGAAAGATCACTGGGAGGAGGTTATGCACACTTGATGCTAGGCTGATGTCACACAGCATTGTTTCACCCATTAATCTTGCAACAAAGTTCCCCAAATTACATCATAGTTTATTGTGACATGTTTGTAAACTCTCACAAGGAGATGTAGCACAACGACAGTCGGTCGTAAGACTACATCTATGTTACAGTAAGGGAGTTACGATCACCTTAGCACTACAATAGTTTCGTGGAACGGACCCATGAATTCTAAAGGTGGGCCGTTGTATGGAATGAATACATGTCAAATTTTGACGTTTTTGAAGTATTATTCTGTTAAACCCAATTGGATTTTGCTGTGGATCATGTAGATGACTGCCTATTCACACACAATAGTGAGTTTTTTTTAAGAAGTTATAAACGGCAAGTAATAAAAAAAATACTGAGCAAGGTCCCTTCACATACCTGAATATTCACTGACATTAATGTGTAACATAGCAATTACATGTTCTGTGAAAGGCATTGAACCTGCAGCATCACATTTCTTGGCTTACACATGTCTGGTGTGCTTCCTGCAGCATCATTTGAGACCTGAGTGGGTGAGTGAGTGAGTGAGTTTGGTTTTACGCTGCTTTCTGCAATATACCAGCAATATCATGGCACGGGACACCAGAAATGGGTTTCAAACATTGCAGTTGAGACTTGTAGATACAGGTCTGTTTGTTGTTTAATGCTGCACTCCGCAATATTCCAGTTATGTGACCATGGTCTGTAAATAATTGCAGGTGGGCCAGACAATCCAGTGATTGTCATCATGAACATTGATCTTCACAATTTTCATTGGTTGTAAATACCGGTGACAATATTAGAATGATAATGAAATCCATTCTCACAGTTGATTGAGGTGAGTGAGCTAAGTAAACCTATGATTAATTCAGAATGTGTCGAGAAAACCTGTGCTTGACATGAGCAGTCAGCCAGCGGTTGAGTCACGATGATACTAAATCACCTGGATGCCAATCCATCAGTCAGCTGCTGCAACAAGCATAGGTTACTGAGGACTTGTGTCACCTTGGAATCCCCTTGAGAGGTTTAATTTCATACACTTCATACAACTTTTACAACAATGTACGGGTATTACTTAGTGCATTGTATTCTCTTGGCCTTTATATAACAACTAGTGGTGACTTTTTTAACCTGTTTGACTTTTCCAGTGTCATGAGAATGAACTTAGAAATATAAGTAACAAAGACCACTAAGTGAATCAACCAGAAACAGTTTCACCATAGATCTTCGCAGCACATGCTTAACTACAGAAGGCATCCTTACCAATGAATTATTGACTGAGTTTGTGCGGTTGCTAACCTTTGGTATTATGACTTGTGGAAACCTACGGCCGTGGTCAAGCCTATTATGAGGGAGAGCTCATGTTGCAGCATCAAATAAGAAATTTATGTCCTTATCTTAGCTAGGTGTTGCATATAGAGCTTTATATTCAATCAGGTTTTCAAGTCAAACTGTGGGTCAGGGATATCTCCTTTTGAAGTCAGCATCTATGTGAATTGATGGTGGAGGTGAGGCTATAGCCTTAAACATTTCTGAATAAGGTCACTATATATTGACTGAAGATCGAAGCGATTGCCATGAAGCATGAATGTTTGGTAGAACTATGAATGTGGTTTTATTTCATCAAGTAAAGAAAGAAAGGGGAACACAAGAGATGTGTGGTGGGATAATTAATTTAACAAGACCTAGGTAATCATTTTGCTATTTTTGAGCAATGAAATGCCTGGTTTAAATGTTTAGACAGAATCTATGACGAGAGGGATGACTTCAACTGTCCACTAGGCAACTGTCCCTTTTATGTCCAGTAATATGCAGGCCACTCCAGGTTTTTAAGTCCTCATTTAACAACTTTTGAGGTACAATCAAGGACGCTCTTTCTGTGAAGATTTCAAAGACGCCATATGACTCTTTCTCAAAAGTTGTTTCATCAGGGTTTTAATATTCAAGGCCTCAGTAAAGCTTTCCAAACATTCCATGGCAGACATGGGGAAGACATTTATAGATTTGACGCATCAGTGACCAAAATGATGTCTGATACAATTCCCTACTTTGACCTGGACCATATGTTCCTGTGTTTTATCAGGGGAACAATTGACTTGCCTTTGCATGTGTTTATGACAGGCACCCCCTTCACTATTGATTTGATAGAGACTTCTAATGATTATGGAACAGGTTTTGACCCTTATATTTACCAACAGAAACATTTCAAGAAAAGATTAGTTGGCATTCGGATGTGTTGGGATCCATACAGAACATTTTGTATTGCTGGAATGGACAGTATGATGGTGGTATTTCCACAGCAATTGTAATCTAACCTTCAAAACGTTCCTGAAAGACTGCTGTATATTTGCTGCCTAACATATTTGCACTTGATATTTGATAGGACACTAATGGGAAGCTCCAATGTAATGCAAAATCACCGCCTCTCAACCTTAATTCATGAAGTCAAACATGATTAAAACTGAAGAAAACACCACAGTCCACAGACTATTAAGCAATTATGGGGAAATGTTCCCAACCATGAGTAGTAAATATGAACCAAATAACCAAAGAAAAATCTAAACACATCTTTGATTATTACTTGTCAATAGGAGATTAAAAGATTCCTGTCAGTGAAATTATTGATTGAAACAATTTCATTCCGTGGAACAACTTCAAGAGCACACATCAAAGTATGTCCATTTTATCAGCAATTAACAGAATCTTTCAGACATGAAGCTTTTTTTGGAAGTAATGTTGACATTATGACAGTTGCTTTGATTTCTGCAGCAATTACAACCAATCACAGCAACAGCATCATCGTATCATACACATTCATCCAGCAAGTACAATACGGCTTCAATGTAATAGGATGCCATGAAAGCCAGCTATCTCTCAGGCTGTAAACTAGGAAACAGGGATATTGCATATTGGACAAGCTCCGACTTTAATAAAACATGCATTTCCTGGGTGTATTTAAACAAATTACTCCACAGATCGCTTCCTGTGTAGATTTTATGTCCTCATCACTGTGCGACTTGTTTATTTTTCATGGAAGTTTAATCTGGAAAATTGCAATTGTTCTTAGCACTACAATTTTCTGTGATGACAGTCAATATTATATAGTCAGATCATTATGATGTATCCCATTTTAAGTGCTGGAAATTGTTTTGTAATATTGTTATCAAGAAACAATGTTTTAAGTGCCCCTGCCTATCTGGTTCAGAGGAATGTGAATTATTGTAACAGGAATGAGAGGAATATTGTTCATTTATCTTTGAGGATAGGATAAATATAAAATTCAAATACAAAGAAATGTTATATATGTTTTTATTTCACCTGAAATGATTTTTGCTATCTTATCTTTGAAGCGGATATTATACCCCACCACGAAGTGGGGCAGGGGTATAGGAACGGAGTTTGTCCGTTCACCTGTCCGTCCGTTTCACAAAGGGGACAAATTTTCTCAAAAACTATATAAGTCAGAGAAATGAATTTTCCACCCTGATGTTACTGGCCCTTGCTCCATGCTTTTTAACTTAGTGCATACTGCATGAAATGGGGACAAGTTTCCTCAGAAACAACTGAAGTTATGTGAATGAAAGTTTGAATGCTTATCTAAGAGATACTTGTCAAGACAGAGTTCGAAAATTTGTCCCGTCAATTATTGTTTTACAGAGTTATGGCCCTTGTTCTGTGCTTTCAACTTAGTGCATAGTGTGTGGATCATTGCTCACAATATCTTTCACTGGATTTTAAGTGATCCATTCACATAATTTTCACCACCATTTTGCCCTTTACGCCCAATCATGGAATATGTTTGGGCAGATAATGGAGTCTGGTCATTCTCTGGATTGTCTCTGGAGTGTTGCAGTAAACAAAAATACACTCATAATGTGTAATGGTGTTACAATAGTGCCGAAGCTGACACTGGTAGGTTCTTCTTCTTCTTCTTCTTCTTCTTCTTCTTGTATCCAGCCTTGGAGAGAAATAAATTTCTCAGCGGGGGAATAAATCCCTTTTACCCCACCACGAGCACATGAGGCTGCACATGGATTTCTGTGAGGCAGAATAAATCCCCTATACACAGCTTTGATGCAAAAAGCCGCACACTTTTTCCGAGTCAATGAAAGTCATGTGACATAGCACTGATAGAACTAATGCTGATTGTGGTTGTATTTTGCAGGTGTGACCATGACTACTTGGACATCTACACACAAATAAAGAGTGAACGGGAAACATTGAATCTCCTAGATGCTCAGCTGGCTGGTCGCTTCTGTGGAGATTTACTTGGGAGTTTACAAAACTTAATTGTGTCTACCAAAAATTTCATCGTCCTCTCCTTCTATACAGACGCTACAAAGGAGCATACAGGCTTCACAGGATACTATGAGTTCTTTGATGCTTGTAAGTATGTTAGTTCTTGAACTCAGCGAGGGCTCAGTTTCATTGAATGATGTTTGATTTTCCATTTCTCCAGCTGCTTGCTGACCTAGCTCACAGCATTGAATTAAGTATGTGATAGATCAAGTAAAATCAAGGATGTCTGTTGGGTGGTTTTCATGATCACCGGCAGTGGGGGTGGGGGGGTAGTGTGGAATAGGCACAGGTGGCTCATTCATCTAAGGCGCCGCAATTCTTGGACACACCAGAAACCTATGATTGTGGGTTCGAATCCCATGTTCGCCCCAATTATGTTTCTAGGTTTGTCAGCACCATACCTGTGTTCGTGGGGCTTCACCTAAGTGGTAAATGTCTGAGACCTCCATCACTTCGGGCTTTCCTCCCACATTAAGCTGACACGCTGTGATATAACTGGAAAACTGTTAAAAGCAGCGTTATGATCACTGGACAACTAAGGCAGTTTTGCAGGGGTATATGCAGGAAGGACTAACATCAAGAAATAACAGATGTGATTCAATGCAGCAAATACATAACATGGTGTATCACAAATAATATGTTATCAAACAGTTCTGCAAGTTAATTACTCTTCATTCATGATAGTCGCCATTTTGCCTGTGATAAATGTGAAGTCTTTACATTCTTCCATTTTGATGTGATTCCACTCAATCTTAACTTCTTATGATTATGCCATATCAAGGAAAATAGGAATTATCAATTTTCTCTGAACCTTGTAATCAGTGTGTTGTACACTCTGTCAAAATGTTAATTACTGATGAGACCAATGTGGACCTTTATCGTCCATGGCAGGAGTACTGCGGGAGTAGTGCTGTGTGGCATCTGGCAATAAATACTAACTTTTGCAAATTGTGTGAATGGCGGGTTCTCCCGGTAGGGCAACACATACTTATCCTTTTCACAAACACCTGGTGTCATCACTGATTTTCAGTGATCCATTCATTCAATTTTCACAGCTATTTTGCACTTTATGGCAAATGGAATCTGTTTCGGCAGATGATCTACCCTGATTATTCTCTTGCATTGACAATACATGTTTTCTTAAATGATTGTTACATGACTGAAGGGTACATCAATTCGAAAATAGAAAGAAAAAAAGAAGTCTTTGAAAGTAATGAAAGTAGAACTTTGTTTTGTCTGATTCTAGGAAGAATTATGGAAAATAAAACAAGTAATCTAACACAGAGAAGACATTTGTATAATAATAGTATACCCAATTTTAAAAATATTTCCGAAATGATTAGCAAAAATGCTTATAAGCAAACTTTTGCCATCTCTTTGTTTTGTGTTCTTGAAAGAGTTTGGTGCCTTTATAGATTCCTCCAGAGACTGTTGTTGTTGATAGTTTTGTTCTCATAGGAAAACTGTTTTCAGACTTTTATTGTATGTTCTCAATGAATTGTTCAGTTGAGATTGTTGTGCACCATTTATTTTGCTTTTGTGAAAATATAAAGATTCTTCAGGCCCCTGATTCACTTTGATTGTCAAATCAATAAAATAAGTAGACATACAATGTTTTATGTGGCAAACTTAAGTTTGGACTGCATTAAAAATATTACCAATTCTTTCTTGACCACATTTGTTCTAAAGTATGATTGCATGTTCCCTGGAACTTGTAGAAAGTATAGTCATACCTTGAGAACTCCAAAACTGTTTGGGGGCAGGGGTGGCCCTGTCGTCTAAGGTGCCCCGATTTGTTGTGCAGAGTTGCGTACCTTGGGCGTGCCAGAAACCGATGATTGTGGGTTTGAATCCCGGTTCACCCCGATTATGATTCTAGGTTTGTCAGCTCCATACCTGTGCTCGTGGGTTTCACCAAAGTGGTAAACATCTGAGACCTACATCACTTTGTGCTTTCCTCCCACATTAAGCTGACACACCGTGATATAACTGGAATACTGTTAAAAGCTGCGTTAAACCCAACTCACTCACTCACTCACTCACTCACACAAAACTGTTAGCGTAGTGGGCAAATAGGCTTATTCTGTGGGAAATCATTGCTAGACCCCATTATTTTTATATGTAAGTTATTCTGACTACAGTTCAAGCGAACACTGCAATGATTTAATTTTGTTTTCAAGTTTTGGCATTAAAAATTTGATCCAATATTATATTTGAAATGATTTCAACCATTGACATATTTTGATGAAAAATTGATTAATTATGAGTAAATCTTACATGGATAAGATTTCTTATGGCAAACAGTTTGACAAGATGAATTGGTCTGTAGTCAGAAACATAGTAATCAGCAGAAAAAAGTTGGTGTTTTGCTGAACTATTCAGAATGACATCCATAAATTCTTTTCCTTATTCAGAATGCCTTTTTTGTTCTCATACAAAATTGTGTGACTAAAGTTACAACTACAGTAATTTAACAAAGAGAAGATGATACTGACAAAATGTTATCATTGCTAAGATTAAAAAAAGATTTATTAATGTTCAGTTGCAGTTTGTGTTCATTGTTTCGGGATTGTTGGTCTTTTTGTTCAAAACAAATGGACATTGTTGCCATTACATCTGGACTGCAGACCTATTAAATGATCCTAGACCAGATCATTTACAAACGTTAAAAGAGGTTTTGCTGTTTTGTTTGATTGTAATCTTATTCCAAACCTCTCCTTGTGAGTATCATTTTGTACAAGTTCCTTTGGTGAAATCTTTTTATTCAAACAGCATTTGAAAATTAATCTCTTGAATTCATTTCTTTACGATATTTTTTTCTTTCTTTTAGTACTGAATTTGACACTGACCCATTCAAGTTGTCATTTTGAAAATACATTAAATTAGCCTGAATGTATGTATGGAACTTTCATGATGGAGTGACTTATGTATAATACCTACAGATGGTCTCATGATTTTTAAGGTCAATATGGCTAATGTTCATGTACACATATAATTTGTTCATGCAGAAGACACTGTGATGTTGGCTTTGGCAGCACTCTTTTTAGTTTTGAGTTTATGGAGTTGACTTCGGGAGTTCAGCCCACATTGGAGAAATAAGATTCAGATAGTTTCAGTTTACTTTTGCGTGATGACCACTTCTTTTGTGATTCATTAGAAGTATTATTAAATTTGACAAAAAGTATACAAAATGAAGTAACTGTTATCTTTTTCATATAATAATTGATTGAATGCATTGAATGTAGTCTATTATTAAGATAAGCCTTCACAGAACGGAATACATTAAATGTTACCGTCAAAAAACTGGACATCCTGCTTTATAAAAAGAAGTAACATTTATTTACTTCACTAAACAGACCAACCCACACAAGTTCTCCCCAATACAATAAAATATTGAGCTACTCAAATTTATTATTATTTTCTTATTTCATCCAACCAAAACTAATTGGTTAGTAAAATCAGTAAACCATAAGATGAAATAGATGTGCTAATGGTGTGATCATTGACTCAAACAACACTACCTTCCCAAGCCAGAATGACGTGAAGTGCTCCTAATAATTGATATGTGTCAGTAGTTTCATAATTCTGGTCATCCATTAATCCCTGTGTTATATTGGAAAAGAGTGTCAGATATTCTTAATGGAATGGTAAGGTTTCCTATTCATGTTCTTGGCTCACCCTGGCTAAAGGTCTAGTGAGCTCGGATTGTGGTCTGCTTGTCTGTTGTCCATTGCGTCCATGCTTACCCTTTTCATGAACACTTGGTGTCGTCACTGGTTTTCAATGATATATAAATATAATTTGCTGTGCAATTTTGACTTTTACACCCTGTGGAATCTGTTTCAGAGACAGGTTATTCTCTGGTGTTAACATTTCATATTAGACAGCATCTCATCTGAAACATGGTATACATCTTGCCATGGATGATGTCCTCTTTTTATGGATCCATAATTAAATATGGCCATTGATGGCTGCCACCCCAACATTTGAAAGCCTAGTCATCTCTGTCTGTAGATAGTGAAGGTGGTACAACATATATGTTTTGTTTATTACTTATATTTCATAATTGACGCTTTCCACCTTGACCTTGCTCATTAACAGTGTTATACATACTGTTGCAGATTAAGTTACAGTGTTGAAGGTTAACTGGTTGGTTGACAGTATCAAAGAGGTGAAGTCTGGCATTTTGTTTTGGTTTAACAATTAATTAATAAGTTAGTATTGATCAGCTAAATGACTAAGGGTAGGTAGGGGCAGTGGGGTAGCCGTGTGGAGAGAGTGTTGGATCAACATGCCAAAACTTGGGTTTGATAACCCAGACTGGTACAATGTTTGAAACCATGCAGAGTGATATGGCTTGGCTAATGCTGAAAGTGAAGTAAAACAAGAATGGCTGGCTCACTGTGATGTAAGGTTGAAGCCAGGAACCAGGGCATGTATGTGGTTCATCTGCACCACTCTGTGTTGTCTTGCTGACTGTAGTGATGTGGTTCTGTCAGCCCGCTGTGAATAGATCCTATTATTCTGCAAGTGTTTTTTATAGCAATTAACACCTTCACTCAATGGCTTAGTTTCCTAAACATCACAACTGTACATGAAAACTTTCAAGTCAACTATGTGAATTTATGAATGTATTATGGAGGCACATGTATCAAGTGAGCTTCAGTACTTTGGTGCTTTCTCCATAATTTGACAACATGACTGACAATTGTACAATTCTCATTCAACATCTTTCTCAAGCAAATTCTTACAGCAATTCAGAGTTGAGATCCACTTAAGAAAATAATTAATAGTATTTGCACTCTAAGTATATACATGTAAGTTTATGTATGCTTTTTTCATCTGGCCACAATAATTGAAAATGTCATCCAAAATAACTCTCAAGCCTGTAACTTATAAAATGCAATCTCGAAAGAAATTAAAAAGGATACTGAATTGAAATGAAAATATACAGTTAAATGACATTTACAAAAGACACTTTTTATTATTTCCCCCCCCCTAACACACTAGTACCTTCACCCACTAACAGAATCTTGACTGTATGGATTGATTTAACAGTTTTCCCCATTCCAGCAGTATATGATATAGGAACAGAGGCGCCACCAGCCATGTGCGGCTACACCATCCGCAGCGAGAACAGGAAGACGGGTTTCATCATGTCCCCTACATTCCCGGGCATGTATGCAGACAACATGTTCTGCTACTACAAGCTGCAGGGCAAGGCCGGGGAGAGGATCAAACTCCACTTCATCGAGTTCTCCCTCTACCATGGAGAGGAATAGTAAGTTCATGGATTCTAGTGCTAGGTTACAGATGGCCTGGGAATATGAGCGACACTTTTTTGTTCTGTACAAGCTCAGGTGATGTGGTACCCGATGCACAAACTATGTGCAATTACTCTGACTGGATGTATCTCCTGGGAAGGCTCTTTGAGAGACTCGCGTTACGCTTTACTGTTTTCAGTGATACTTCAGGGAATAACAATTTGAACTACAATGTTTTTTGCCTTGCGTTTGGAATCAATTGGGTATCAGATTCACCCATTTGATAAGCGTCTTGAGAGACTTAACTACATTTGAATTTGAAATTAATTCAGGGTAAATGCACTATATCTTTAGTTTGTTTCTTATGAAGCAACACTGTGACATTCAATTTTAACATTTTAAGTCTTGAAAGGACAATCCATGTGATTCAAAAGTTGATAAAGTTTGATTTTACTTCCCAAGAGACAAGAGTGAGTGTTGATGAAAGGGTGCACAGTGCACCAAATATTTTATGAGAGCTTCAAGCAGTAGTGCTATCTTTTGTGCTTTGTTCTTAGTGTGAATGTGTTAGGGGCACAAAATAGTTTAAAGGGTTTAAATATATTCATAGAATTTGTATATTTGCCTGATAAACAAATAACTGGTACCACATAAACAGACACGGAATATATGGTTTACAATTGAAGAGCTTGCAAAACACAAAACATTTTTCTGGATTGTCATATTTGTATTTGTTTAGGTTTAATCATAAACACAGAAATGCACTATCATAATAGATGATTGTCTCTTTGGGTCTTTGCAAGGTAGTTAGAAACTGGTATGAAAACATGAAACTTTCCTTGATAACTTCTTTATTGTTTGTAGCAACATTGCAGGGCTTGCACCTTTCTAGGTACTGATTCATCTTCCAAAGCTACAACAGTAACCCTGAAATGTGGCTACAGACAATAGTTGTTATCCATAAAAGTTAAATGTCTTCATGTTCTGCCAACTTGTATTAATTGTTGATCAAAGACTAGAAATTTGGAGGTCTTTCAAAAGATTCTATATATATATATCAACATCTTTACTTAAGAAATAAAAAACGAGTGGGAGTTAACTATTGTACAATAAAAAACAACCTCAACATTATATACAGCCTCTTTAAGGAAGTTAATGAATGTACATGCTTCAATGATTACTCTCTGAATCCGACCTTGGCAATGTCAGACAAGTCCATTTTATGAACAGGTGGGGTAAGTTTGGTATTTCCCGCATATTCTGACAATCAGCATAGTCTAACAATCCTCACATCGATTATCTGTACATTTTTTCTTAGTACTGATTGACATATCTCTCCCGTTTTTGGTACGATCGTTCGGCCAATACGTTTATCTGAGTTACCCAGCTAAATCTAGGGGGAACAACTTACAAGACACTTTCCTTTAAAAAATAACGTCCAAAATACATCATATCAAGTTGCGAGTGTATGTTCTAATCATGACATCATGATAGAACAATGTTTTATCGTGAAATAAACCATGTTTCGTTCTTCATTGTCTTTGCGATTTAGCGCGTAGCTATCTTATGTTGATGAATAACATATAATATTTCAGTATAAGGATCTCTATGTATTTGTGTTTCTGTTAGATCATGTATGAAGATGGACATTTTGTGTTCCAGCTGTCCATACGATTACGTGAAAATCTACGATGGCTATACAAATGATGCCCCTGTGATTGGCACGTTCTGCGGCAACTATGACAATAGCACAATCCTTTACTCTTCTGGAGAAGCACTGCACATAGAGTTTCTTACAAGTCAAGGGAGAGTCTTGTTTGACAAGCAGCCTCTTGAAAACAGTGGTGATTTAACAGTGCCAAGAAAAGGATTTAACATAACATATAACTTCAGTGATCAGATTGTCAAGTTAGGTAAGTATGCCAATGTATAACCAAGTATAAACATGTGCCTTGATGCATGGAAAGGCACATCAGTTGCACAGTCAATCTGTAGTAGATAAACTTGATTTTACACTAAAATATGGGAATTCCTGGAGGGGATTCTGGGTTTGAATAGGTCCCCAGAAACATATACTGGCAATTAAGTGGATCAGGTGGTCATTGGTTGATTGTGTCACTGAACCCTGACGTTTGTGGATTGATGCTCACAATGTCAATCACTGGATTGTCTGGTCTAGTCTTGATTATTAACATGCTGCCATCAACTTGCTGGAATACTGCTGAGTTGGGTGTTAAACAACAAACATATAATGTTGTAGAAGTGGTTGAAGTTAACATCACTCCAAAGACCAAGGTCGAATTTCTAGGATAGGTACAATGTGTGAAGCCCTGCTGTGATGTTACTGAAATATTGCTAGAAGCAGCATAAAACATTCACTCACTCACTCACTCCCTTATAGTGAAATGGATAAGACCGTGGATAAAGTCTTTGCATGTTTTTTCTAACTACTTTCTTACGCATTACTACTAAGTATGATCATTTCTATATTTGACACATTGTAGAAGAAACAAATGTTCTATTTCAGACTTTATCCTACCTGATGCAGAACACTTAATAGGAACAGGTAGGTGGCAGTGTGTTAAGTGTGTAAAGAACTTATATTTCATGAATTATGACACAAGTTACTAGACTAACAAATTTAGGTTATTTCCTCTTTGGAAATATTGATATCATGTAAATGGAAAGAACGAGAAGTTAATAGAAAGATCGAGAGGTTTGTAGCTAAACATCAAGTATTAATCTGTTTCACATCAGAAATAGTACTAAAATCACAATTTTGTGTGACCTATTGAACTCAAAGTCGCTCAGCTAAAAGCAATTGGTTCTGAAAGCAGACATGAGATATACCTTTCATTAATAATGTGTTGGTGACATTCAGAAGATAATGACAAAATTGATAAAAATAGAATTTTGGTGAGCATGTCTTCTTTTAGAAACACTGTAGCATATTAAAGTATAGGTACAGCTAGTCTCTCTCGCCCCAAAACAAAAATATGCAAGTCTAGATTTCTTCAGTTTCAGAATGTGAAAAGTTCTCTTTGCTCCTTTCTGTTATATATTTTTAAACAATTTGAAAAAAAACAAACTTTCAGTCTTTTCATTTCGGAGACTATATGTTAGTCTAAGGTGCCCCTGCTGTTGCCATGGCTACATTCAGATGTCTTGTTTTTATATCATTGCAGAATGTGACCAACGAATAATGAGTAAGCAAGAGACCAATGGCACAATAAAGTCCCCCAATTATCCGGCCTCCTTCCCTCAAAACATCACCTGTCGGTACTACCTGGATGGCCTTATGGACAGACAGCATCTGGAGAAAGCTAGGATATTATTCTTCGACTTCGACATACCAGGGAATATGCCTTAGTAAGTTGTGGACATGCAAGGTTCGTTGTTTGATTGATACCTGTAGTGGACGAGTAGAGAAGACACCAGTGACGCAGTGCACAAATCATCTGTTAGGTTCTATTGGATATCTATTATCTATTAAGACATACTACAAATATACAAACAGTTTTCCTTCAAAATCTCATGTTATATTTCTTTAGTTGTTCTGACCTTTTCACTCTTTGCAACAGTGTCAAATGGCTATGATGTGTCATTTTCTGTTTTCAGTTTAAACAGAATGGTATATTTTTTACAGATGTTTGTTTTATTTCTTTACACATTTTCAGAAGTTGGTGATCATAGTAATAGAAAAAAAATATTGTCACTGTAGCAATGTGAGCAATGTAGCTCACCTGGATGTGTAGTCAGAAGTTTTGGAAAGCATATGAGCAAGATATGTTTATGGTGTACATTTGAGGCTTGGCAGAATTCTGCAATAGGTCACCAGTACCCCAATTAAGCTTATCACAAGATTCAACCAATGATTGTTAGGTGGTCACAATGTGCAAGCTGACTGACTGTGTGTCATGTAACGCCAATAGACCTGTGGGATATATATGGATTATTGCTGGTGTAGTTTGGATGGTACAGACTATAGACTGAAGGGATCTATCTGGATTATTGCTGGTGATGTCTGGTGTGGTCTGCATGGTACAGACTATAGACGGGCAGAATATATCTGGATTGTTGCTGGTGTTGTCTGGATTATTGCTGGTGTTGTCTGGATTATTGCTGGTGTTGTCTGGTCTGCATGGTACAGACTATAGACGGGCAGAATATATCTGGATGGTTGCTGGTGTTGTCTGGATTATTGCTGGTGTTGTCTGATCTGCATGGTACAGACTGTAGACTGGAGGAATATATCTGGATTATTGCTCCTATAGTCAAATCTGGTCTGCACAGTGCAGACTTTAGACTGGTGGGATATATCTGGACGATTATGACTGCAAATCAACATTCATTCACTCACTCCATACACATGCACAATGTAATTCTTATGACAATACATTGGACCATATGTAAATAATGTTTCAGTTGTGCACTCGGATACGTTGGTCTGAATGAGGATAGTCGCCTGAAGGATGGAACCGTGAAGGAGAAATTCTGCGGGACACTGCGACCCCCACCTCTGACGAGTCAAGGTCCCCGTCTAGTCCTGACCCTGGACACTCGAGGGGCCGTCCAAGGCGGGCGCTTCATGTCCAAGTACAAGTTTATTACAGGTAGGCAATATAGTGTAGGAGACACCTACTGACAAGACTTTCTTTCTGCAAATCCATTGACATGTTTATCCATGTGAGTCCAGGTACCTGTTGGAATGATTGAACATGTTTGGAATATGGTTGTTTGAATGGTAGAGCTTAGGGCCAGATTTGGTCAGTATCTTTGTTTAAGATATTTGATACTTAACATAAGAGGATTGAATAAGATGGAATCAGGTTTGTACAAGTTTTTTCATGACAGAAGTATTAGTCAGCTGAACAATTTATTGAAGATTTGTATTGTACCAAATAGAAATAAGTAAATATAAAAACTTGGAAATGTGATGTTGCATGTTCAATGCCTACATGACATGCTTCTTGGCAAATGCCATACGGTCAACTCTTGTTGTGTTGCAATTCAAGGGTCAATTCAATTGTATATATACTCATCCACATGTACTTCCTGCTCAGTATTCCAACTTTCCTATCACGAACAACATGTCAGTGATCAAATAGATGACTGTTATGAATACCTTTTGCATGCTGAAAAACATGAGCTGAATTTCACATCTCTTTATTCAATCATATTTCAGTTAAATTCTAGTTCACAATTTGTGTGTTCGGTTGATCAGGTCGATCCAGTGAGAAGTGATCTAGTTAAACCATCATTCTGTCTCCATGGTGTGATTCAGGGACAGTTAGTGTATTTATAGTATTCTTGAATAATTCAAGATTATATCAGCACCAAACAACAGTATGTAGTTTTCTGTATTTCTGTTATGGAGATCAAGTGGACTAAACAAGGGTTGACTGTAGACTTCTCTACTTTCAGTATAATTAACAATTAGTTGTCATCTTCAGAATAATTTCTTCTTTTTATTCCAGATTATTCAATCCCAGGGACCCAGATCTCAGAGGGTCAGTCTACACTCTGGTCCAATCTGTTAATTCTGCAGCTATAAATAACAAATACAAACCTTTCATCTTTTACTCAATCCTCTAGTGTTATGTATTTGCTACCAGGAATTCAAAATGCAGGCACACATTCCCCTCCTTATCCACCTGTAGTAAAAACACAGTAGAAAATTTGACGAAGTCTGTCTCTAATCACCACATGAACTATTTCAAACATGTTCAATCATTCAGAATAGATACCTTATTGCCATGGATAAAAAATAGTAAGTACACAATTAATTTGCTCACCTTTAAAACTCACCTTTAAAACTAACACGACACATTTTCATCCAGTGTAAAAACTGACTTCTCAAAGTAGTTGTCATCTTCAGAATAATTTCTTCTGTTTATTCCAGATTATGCAATCCCAGGGACTCCCATCTCAGAAGGCCAGTGCAAGTTCTTGTATGATGACACCAGTGGCCAGTCTGGAACATTCAATACACCGCGTCACCCTGGCAACTACCCGACCGATCTCACCTGTGAATACATCTTCCGCCCTGGCCATGACGTCTTCGTTCTTATATCATTCGATACATTTGATCTAGATGCAAGACAACCGAACCAGCTGGGGTGTGTGCACCAACTAACCCTGTCCCTTTGTCATCTTTTTCACCTGACTGAAAGTCACGTGACCGAATGTCATGACCTGTTTGTTTGTCATCTGAACCAGTGAAGCTTATACTTGACATACTTGTTTGCACCAGTCATGACACCCCCAATTCGTTCAAAGGTTCAAATCTGATTTTCAATATGGCTGCCATGGAGGCAGACTTTTTGTAAAACCTATTTATGAGCGCCAATTTTGTATGAAGTGCAATGAAATTTGGACTTTGTTTAGTTGTTGTGGGATTCAATACACAAGTTCTGTTTACTTACAACATGGACCATGCTCACAAAATACATATTTTGCTCTGAAAATTTCTTCTCCTGAAATTGCAAGACTCAGGGAGTTGAACTTGACATATATGTTTCTCATGATGATGACATCATACTTTGTTCAAATCATTAAAGTTTATTGTTAGTCCTCAGACTGCTGACTACATATCCAAGTGAGCTACAGTGCCATTGTACTATTTTTTATATGTTTTAATTACTTGGTTTACAAATTATTTTCCAAAACAGTCAGGTCTGGGTTATTTTAGTCATCTCATAAAAATAATTATCTTGCAAGTGAAATAAAAACATGATCTGTTTTCTTAAGTGATTTCATGTATAAAATTGTCTTTCAAGAGAAATAAATGCTTCAAATGTAAAAATATTTTAAATATTGGCTGGTAACTTCAAACAATTGAAAACAAATTTTAAGATTTACCAGATTTGTGAAGTAATGAAAATCTTATTTTGGGATGATAGGGTGAAAGTGTTCTTTGATAGGGTGAAAGTGTTCTTTGATGGGGTGAAAGTATTCCTTGATAGGGTGAAAGTGATCTTTGATAGGGTGAAAGTGTTCTTTGATAGGGTGAAAGTGTTCTTTGATCGGGTGAAAGTGTTCTTTGATAGGGTGAAAGTGTTCTTTGATCGGGTGAAAGTGTTCTTTGATAGGGTGAAAGTGTACTTTGATAGGGTGAAAGTGTACTTTGATAGGGTGAAAGTGTTCTTTGATAGGGTGAAAGTGTTCTTTGATGGGGTGAAAGTATTCCTTGATAGGGTGAAAGTGATCTTTGATAGGGTGAAAGTGTTCTTTGATCGGGTGAAAGTGTTCTTTGATCGGGTGAAAGTGTTCTTTGATAGGGTGAAAGTGTACTTTGATAGGGTGAAAGTGTACTTTGATAGGGTGAAAGTGATCCTGGCAGCTAAGGTATGCATCTCTGTATATCAAGTTCTGTCACCTTGGTACAGTGGTCCCCTAGCTCTTGACCCTTTGGCAATAATTAAGCGATGTGATAAGGATACTGGCACTTGAAAGCTTTTAAGTTTACCCAAATACAGTAGCATCTCTTTAAGCCACAAACTTCATTTCCTCCTGATGAGATGAGGATACTGGCAAATTGAAGTTTACCTCAATACAGTAGCATCACTTGAAGCCACAGACTGAAGGTCCTGCTTTCCTACATTACAGGTGCCTGGGAAGAGACTACCTGGAGATTTATGAAGAGGGATATACCAAAAATAACTTCTCCCTTGTGGAGAGGCATTGTGGCACAATAGCTCCTGGCCCTTTTACGTCGTCAAGGGTGGTGAAGATTGTCTTCCATTCCAACAAATCCATTACCAAGATGGGCTTCAAGGCCAGATACTACTTCCAAACAAAGGAGGAGATATATGGAAGTAGGTTCATACACTGAACTGAATGTCAGATGAATGAATCGTTAAATCTGCAGTAAACTATGGTTATATCAAACTCAAATTGACCACTAATTTTAGTTTGTTAAAACCGTAATTCGTTATAAGCATATATACAACATCAATACAGCAAATGGCTGGGACCAAAATTTAAGTTTGTAATATCCGTCAGTCCGTTATAAGTCAGTTAGTTATAAACTTATTTTACTGTACTACTCAAAAACTTGATTCTTTCATGTGACTATAGTTCATCTGTCATGCCATCCTGACCGATGAACTGAAGTAACATGAAATAATCAGGTGATCCTTGTTTTATTTTGAGTAATATACTTTCTGTTAAGGTGTACTTTGGACTTTCAAGTCTTTAACTTTCAATGCTCGTCAGCAATATCAACTTCAGACAATACTAATAACCTTGGACTCGGGGATTGCATCAATTGTTATTTGCTTCTGGGAAGAGAATTTTGCAGTGGTCAGCAGATAAGTGTATGAACTTTATGTGTATGGCTAATATTAGGTACTGTAGGATGTTTAATGTTCTGTTGGGCTGGCAAACAGATGTAGGAACGAACCAGCCAAACAATTCACTTGGTTTGAGGTGAATGTTGTTTTGTGCTGCAGTCATAGTGAGGTCATGATAAAACACTCACACACACACACACACACACACACACTCACACTCACACACACACACACTCACACACACACACTCACACAACACACACTCACACTCCACACACCCATACACAATACACAAACACACAACATGCACTCACACACACACTCACACAACACACCCATACACACACCACATACACAACACACTCACCCACGCACTCACACAACACACACGCACTCACACACACCCATACACACACACGCACTCACACAACACACACCCATACACACACTCACACAACACACACCAATACACACACACACACCAAATACACACACCACATACACAACACAATACACACAACACAATACACACACACAACATACACATGCAACACACACACAACACAACATACACATGCAACACACACACAACACACACCATCTAAACAACATACTAATGAAACACACACATTACACATAACCACATACACACACATTCAACACTCACATAACACACACATACAACACACACACACACATAAAACACACACACACACATTAAGGCTTCTATTGGTGGCTGCTGTTTTCTGTTACCTATCAATTGTCCTGTTTCAGAATGTGGAAAGCATGTAACACACACACACACATGAAGGCTTCTATTGGTGCCTGCTGATTTCTGTTACCTATCAATTGTCTTGATTCAGAATGTGGAAAGCATGTAACACACACACACACACACACACATTAAGGCTTCTATTGGTGCCTGCTGATTTCTGTTACCTATCAATTGTCTTGATTCAGAATGTGGAAAGCATGTAACACACACACACACACACACACACACACACACACACACACACACATTAAGGCTTCTATTGGTGCCTGCTGATTTCTGTTACCTATCAATTGTCCTGTTTCAGAATGTGGAAAGCATGTAACACACACACACATTAAGGCTTCTATTGGTGCCTGCTGATTTCTGTTACCTATCACTTGTCCTGTTTCAGAATGTGGAAAGCATGTAATAAACAGTCAGGGATCAGGAGGAATAATAAAAAGTCCTGACTATCCTCGAAAATACAAGGCAAAGACGTTTTGTCAGTGGACGATTAGAGCCAGTAAACCCACAAATAAAATACTCATAGAAACAGCTACCTTTGTGTTAGAAGGAAAGATGGACCGTAAGTATACCTGAATTGTCCTCTCTTTATGAACACATCAATCATACTGGAAATGCAATTTTTGCCCACTCGTCAAACATGTTTACATGTATCATTAGGATATTTGATATTTTGTATGCAGTACAAAATGGTTTTTGTGTACAAGTATTTGAATTTTCCTATCCTGCTCTCCCCTTTTGATCTTCATGTACCCCCATTTGTCCAGTTTAACTAGATTTTCAACATCTTCTCTGAATCCTCTGAATTTTTGTACCTGTCAAATGGGGTTGAATAGGTCTTCAGCAACGCATTCTTCCTGTAAAAGGTGACTATGCTTGTGGAAAGAGGCAACTAACAGGATCGGGTGGTCAGGCTCGCTGACTTGGTTGATGCATGTCATCATATCCCAATTGCGTGGAACGATGTTCATGATGTCAAACACTGGATTGTCTGGTCCAGACTCGATTATTTACCGACTGCAGTCATATAGCTGGAATATTGCTGAGTGCAGCATTAAACAACAAACCAAAACCTGTCAAATAGTGTCTATTATCCCTGCATATTGCTAAAAGCTGCATAAAACCATACTTTCTCACTCACTCATCTACTTCAACAAGTTGTGCTCAAATAGAAAATCGATCCTTGTGGAAGGAAGCTCCTTCATAACAAATGCAGAAGATTAACCCTTTATGTTTCAGAAACGGGCTGCCAAAATTCTGTGATGAGAATATACAGTGATATTAACTCTGTGCAGCCTGCCGAGGTGCTGTGTGGCCAGATGGGCACTAATATAGCTTTCCTCTCTTCGGGGGACACTTTTAGAATAACGTAAGCAATCAAGCTTTTACTTGACATTTGATAATAGAATTAATGTATAACCAGGATTGTGTAGGTATCGAGGAAGACCAGACTCCGGCTGTGGGTGTGAGTCTTTATTTCTCTGTCTTATAACTGGACACCCTTAAACTCAAGTATAGGCACTTAATGTGGCAGGTACATATGGTATATACATATGGGTTTTCAATGCATATCAGTAGATCCTGGCACAGCTAAGGGATACAACACAAGAGTGAATTGCAGGGTCACTATTGAGTTATGTCCCTTAGCTATGCCAGGATCAACTGATATGCATTGAAAACCCAGAAGTGATTATGATCCTTGGTTTGTCATCACATTACCCATGTCTAGTTGTATTGGTTTACTGTATGTACCATGTTGGGCTTGTCAGCACATTGAGCTACGATATGACTGAATACTGTTCAAAGTAGTGTTAAACTCAGTTACTGGCATTTTACAGCATCTTTTCTGTGTGTTATTTCATTCAGTTTGATTTGCTTAGAAGCACTGCACAAAGTATGACTACATATTGTTGTTTATCACCCATAGGGTTAGAAATAACACTTCACGCACACCAGTGTATTGTTTCGGAATGTTGGAATGACTTCACACTGGAAATGATGTCGTAGGTGAAGATTGTTGATGTCATCCGATAATTGTGGTTTTCTAAGCAACGGCCATGATCAGGGCTTTACTCTAAAGAGGAGTTCAAAAGAAGGAAGAAATAATAGACAATAATGAAATTACACTCATGTGTGTTACACTGATTTTATGAAACTTGTGTAAAACTTCATGCATTACCCTTGCTCTTGCTCGGGAAATAAAAGAATTGTGACACTTTTCATAAGATCAGTACGACACACTTGCTGTATAATACTTTCTCATTCTGATACCTATACATGTATTTGATTGACAAAAAGTTCACCTGGACTTAATCTGTTCCAGATTTGTGACATCACTTCGGTCACTTGGTGGTAAAGGATTCAAGTTATCATGGACAGAAGTCAATGAAGATGGTAGGTGTTGACATAATATGTTTGTGAAACAATTGTTTCCTGCTGAGAATTAGTTCAGTTGTGAGTTGAAGTGTCATTTCCCAGGTCAGTTGATAGAAGATGTAACTCTGTAGACTGCTATGCAGTTTTTATTGTAATGGGCATCAGCAGAACTTTGGGCATTTGGGCCCAGCAACTAGATCTGCTTGAACTACAGATGTAAAGATACAAAAGTATACATTTATCAGTATTTTGAAACATTATTTTGATAATTTAGGCTTTTGTTGAGTAGAGATATTCTTGCAATCAGGTTTTCCGTCCATTATGGTGAAGGGTTCATTGAAACATACATAACACATAGATAATAAATATATGTACAAGGAATATGATGATGTCACAATTGGTGCTGTACAAATATTTGTGATGATGGAAGCTTCTGAAAACAAATTAGTGTCTGAATATGCCAAGATGTCGAAGCTTTTTCTTGGTACTAAAAATGACAAAATAAGATGAGTCATGTAATGGAGGGTCCAGTAATTGAGCTCTGTTGTCGGAAACAACAAAAGCCAACTTTTACACATAAACATGACCTTACGCATGTTAGACAAGACATGTATACCCAATCACTACACGCTTTCTCAAACTAAATCACAACTCCTTTTGATGCCCTTGTATGTGAAAAGTGATGCCAGATCCACAAGGATATGTATAATATTGTCAACTTTCTATGTTCAGATGTGAATCTTTAATATATTCTGTTTCAGATACCTGCTTTGGTTTTAAGTGTGCTAAAAACAACTATTGCATATCGTCTGAATTGAAGTGCAATGAATTACCCAACTGTGGCCGAGGTGATGAGTCGGATGAGACAGCCGAATGTAAGTTGGACAGAGTTGTCTCCCTTCGACCATGAACTGAGTATCTCATTGCAACCAAGTTGTGGGAGAGTACATTATGTGAGAAATGATTTTGGAGCAGAGTAGCTGTAGCCATCATAGTAGAGACACGTGATAGTTGGTTTGTTATCCACACATAGACTTATTTTGATTTTTAGGTGCTATTTGTACAAAATTAGAAAGGATTGAACAGTTAGTATAATGTATGCTGCTGACCTCCTGTTGTAGATACATCAGTGCACATGGAAATGTGCACGCAGGGATCTGATCAGTTTGACGCATTTGCGCGATCCATTCTGGATGTATGCCAATGGATGCATTCATGACTAACTAGACACACAGTGCACTGTATGTTAGAGTGACATTTGCACATGTATTAATACTGTATAATGTGCTCTGGGTGCTTCGGTAAGCTGCAAAGGTAATAAGGTGTGCAATGATCTTAACATAGGAGGTCACATTTGACAGTAACTATACCACCATTGGATCATTTTTGTACACCAAGTCTGAAGATTTCAGAAACAAAACCTTAAAATTCACTGTGTATTCAAGTACAGGTATAAGTGTTCAGACAAAATGCAGAGACCAATGCAATATACCACTCTTTGTTATTTTGATATAAAGGTATGTCATCTTTAGAAGTATAGATTTCTTTTTGCCCAATTGACCCTGAAGAAAATAAAATAAGAAATGCTACAATATTGACACCAGAAAACAATCAATCTCTTTCATCTACTGAAAAAGATTCCAATATCTGTTATGAAAAACTTGTGATGAAAGAACCATATGAATGGATCAGTAAAAAACAGTGACTATGTTGCTACTCTGCTTGGCATATAAACAATGTTATAGCCTGTTCATACTGAAACATACACCTGGACTAGCAGACAGGATTTATGGGTTTTGTTTTGGAATGTCACGTTTTCGTTACTGTGAATTAAACCCTTTAACTTCGGCTGTTTTCATTTATTGGAGAAGACCCTTGTTTTAGTCAACTGTAATTTGATCTTTGTCCTGTTAAGACAGTTACAATTGCATATATGTTATGTTGTTTTGTGACACAAGATCTTTTTATGTTTTGTAATTTGAAAGTAGGGAATCATCTTTGAGCAGCATCTGCTTCACCACTGCTAGTGTGTGTTCCTGTACATATAGGGAGCACTGCTGTGTTGCACAGGGTACATTTGATGCTCACCTTGTCTTCTTTGTTTCAGCTGGTTATGCAAATTGTGTTGTTCAGCTCAGAATATTCAGTTTTTGTTTAATTTGGGGATGAAAATAGAAGTGCACAATCAGAAAATGGTGGCAAACATTTCACTTCATAATACATAATTTAACTTATCAAACAGTGGGTGCTGATACTGAACAGCTGATTTATCAGTTGTCCTGTCAGTACTTCTATTGACTGTGACTGTGTCACTCACCTTTGTGTTAAAGTAGGTTGGAAAGTAGCCATTAAATATTTTACTACAGGACAATTGTAAAGTAATTGTTATATCAACTGAAATAACTGAATATTGTTAGTAATTATCTTGACATGGTTTAATGCATATTTGGGTAATAAAGTCTCACCTCTCGTTTCCGTCCAATTCAGACTGCAGTACGTCTGTGATGAGGAGTGAAAACAAGTCTAAAAATATTAATAGTCTTGGTTCTCAGGCACCGCCCGCATCATCATAAAGTGTGCCACACGTTTTATTTTTATTTCCATTTTTAAAAAAATAAAAAAATCCTTAAATATTCCAAGTCCAACTGTATTTCAGTATTTTACATTCATGTAGGGAAGCCCTTTCCCACAACTGTTTATTTTGTTACACATCTGTTTATTTGGTTACATACGAGTTTGAACAACCAAAAATAAATTTAAAAAACACCATCCGCCCACACTATATTTTCAAAAGCCTTTGCTGGAGAAAAATGTACTTTATTATTTTAAGCCTAACCAGACATGTTTAGTAAAGTGTTAAAAGAACAGAAAAATGGTAGGCATAAATCAGTTTAAAATTTTGAATTGTTTAATTTAAAAAAACAAAATTTAATGAAAAATCTTTATAGTTCCTAAAGGGTTCATCTTCAGCCACAATACACACTGGTAGATTGAAGGTCTTCAAAGAGGGATGTTTTGAGAGATGTTCTCAAAGAAAATCTGAATATGATAAACATAACAGCAACTTCACATATCATTTAAGGAAATTGAAACTGAGTGACAAGATAGTCTGATTGTGACACAGCATCAACACTGGTAGAGGTTCAAGAACTAACAGGATACTTTCATATGCAATTATTGAAACTGATGGGCACTTGTATTTTCCTATCCAATTTGTATTATTTTATTTTCCTTTCTTCCATGGATATAGGCGGAGCACCATCAATGTTGAGTTTCCACGCCGTCATTGTGTTCAGTGTGACTTGTCACTCCTTTTTTCTCACACATTTTATTTTACATTGAGGTAGGTGGAATGGGCATACTGTTTCCTGCTGTAGTGCTGACTGGCATACTTGCATCAGGAGCCAACAGGGCAGCTGCAGTTGTATTGTCACACCAACACCATATCTGGACTTTCAAAAACAACACTAAAACAGTGACGACAATTTAGGGAGATTAGTTAATGGTATTATTGGTCATGCACGAGTGATTTTATTCCTAGTAAGGTTGTTTTGGAATGTTTGAAAATTTCAACTTGTGTAAACAATAGGTCATAATTGCAAGTAAATTTAATGTCTTGACAAAATGAATTTGTGAGATTGATTGATCGTTCTTAATCATTATTGTCATCTGGATGTGAATCACATTTTGTCTGAGTAATTGGTCTCTTTTAAGCTAATCTTGTGGACAAGAGCTTTACGTAGAAATATATGATAAATATGGGTAATTTGATGTGATAAAGAGGATGTTTTATGCATGAACCACTTGTTTAGATGAGAGATTATGATAACATTGTTATTCAAACTTAGAATAGATTACATTCGTGACTCAGAGTTGGCAATGAAGAGGTCCTTCAGAACAGACACAATGTATGTGTGTCCTTCCTCTTCCAGAGGTATAGATATAGTGTCTAATCCTCATTCCATGAATACTTCCATCCTGTCTTCAATAAATAAAACTTGAGGTATTATTCAACCACTTAATTACTGACAATTTGAACAAATAACAGTTATTACTAATAGATATTTTCAAACTCGCTGTTACCTCAACATATTTTCTATATGCAATAATCACATTTTTGATATGCAGCGCAAGTTTGTGCAATGCAATATGTGCACGATGGTATCATCAATTTGACATGCAGTGAATTCTTTATGCAATACAAAAATGTGCACGATGGTATCATCAATTTGACATGCAGTGAATTCTTTATGCAATACAAAAATGTGCACGATGGTATCATCAATTTGACATGCAGTGAATTCTTTATGCAATACAAAAATGTGCACGATGGTATTTTCAGTTTGACATGTAATCCAGACACAAGGCAATACAAAAACATGCTGCAAGTTGGGTGGACGTAACTATGCCAGTCAGCGCTGTGGCTGGGGGAAACAGGAATATGCTTCAGCGTTAGCGTGTATACGTCATGTGCATGCCAATCCACCAATGCATTTTGTTTTCCATTAATCAGGCACGGTATATATATTGAACCGTGAAGGGTCCCATGGTATGTAACCTTATCTCTATCTGCCCTGCTCTCCCTCCTGTTCAACTCCTCAACACTCAACTTTCTGAAGAAAAAACAATGCATCATTTTGACAATTGTTGAAAAATATACTTCAAATACTAATACATAGGCATTGTGCAGGTTTTACCTCATTCTTGAATATTTTATACATGGGAAGAATGGAAGGTTAAGTTAGGTGTTTGTTGGTATTATATTTGTTTTTCTACATCTAGCAGAGAAATTCCTATGATACTTTGAACATGAATGTAATGACACAATGAAAGTAACCTGTGATGTGATGTTAGGCGGTAAACAAAGAACATGTTAGAAAAACAAGTATTTCTCTGTAAAGAACCTAAGAACAACCGTCTGATAATGTTCATTGATCACAGGATACAATGAGTTTGTTAGGGGAATCTATGTGACCATCTGACACCATGACAGTCTGTGATGTTTTTTCACTTGTGTACTTGATATACAGGAAAAACAGCAGACTGATATCTAGTATATATTCACAATATTATGTTTTGTGGGCATTCAGGGCTTAAATAGGTCCCTATGATCCCATGCTTAATCTCAAGAGCAAACATCACAATAAGGGTCAAGTGGTCACAATTTATAGCCAAGATGATTGTGTCATTTTACCTCATTGGATAGTCTTTCTTACCTAGAACTTAGTATTTACAGACCATCATGACATAGTTAAACTATTGCTGACTTCAGCGTAATACATAGTAATTACACTGCATCAGTCAGGCAAACAATTCTACTCATTAGGAAGGGCAGAAGAGATTATCTTCAGCCCAAGAGTCACTCAATTCAATACACCCTTTGACATTTGTTGTCCCAGATCATAACTTCAATTACTAATGGTATCTGTGGATGTTGTGAAGCAAATAGCAGCCAAACTAAAGTTTCTGTTCCATTATTAAGTCATGCATCAGCTAGGTAGAGCTGTATTTCAACAATTGTCAGCACACTCGTAGATTGTTCCCTCAATGACAGCTGGAGACACCGCCAGCAGTATACTACCATGGTGTTTGCCCCACTTCCTTGGGCTTCCGAGTTGTGTCATGGTTGTTGCATGCTGAAATAACATGTGTTCAGTCAACATGGTTAACATGTTCATTGTTGTTTTAAATTATATTGAAACCTCATCAGTAACAGAAAATACCCAACTGCTTTTGAATATTATTGGATTCAAAGGTTGTCCTACAGTTGAAGTAGCTTCAATGTCACCGATACATGAACTTGTAGTCTGAATGTAGACAAGTGACTGGTCCTTCAATGTCACCGATACATTAACTTGTAGTCTGAATGTGGGCAAGTGACTGGTCCTGATTTCATATAGCCACAAGTACTTCAAGCATATATATGCCCTGTATATTCACAAGTTGCCCCCAAGGCAGAAGGACTCCAAAAAGATAAAACAGAATTATGATCAGATAGCCACCATAGGCAAAGCCCAATACTGAACCATCATCTGACTGATTGTGATTCCAACTTGAAACCCTACTACATGAGGATTGTTGCTCAAGCTCTGGACATGGTTTGCCTGGTCCAGCCTTGATTTCAAACTGGTTGCTTTGATATGGCTGTATAAGTGATATGGCTGACTGCACCATTAAATATTCACAATCTCACAAGCTTAACTATTTCATGTCATATACACTTCTGTTATATTATATACGTTCTAAGTACATTCACTGAGAAATATGAGGATTGTTTAAACAAGTTTGACATCATTATGAAGATGATCATAGTGCTGCATGTGTAGTTTAGGGGATGTCAACAGTCTGCAGGAATGTAAACCTAACTGCCTTTGCTTCTTATGATAACCATGATTGTGAATGAACCATGACACATGTGCCAACAAGTCACTACTTGATTCTTAATAGTGACACACACATAAATTTAGAGGATTAAATAATTGGTTATGATACCTGTGAGGACATAGGTTAGAATATATCTCAGCACCCTATTACTGGTTATGAAAGGAGACTTACCTGGAATTGATGGCTCTCGGGCTGTGACTGGTTATGTGTCATAGTACCCTGGTGGCATGGACCCTATGCTCATGTTGACGGGTCCAGACTTCATTATTTACAGGCTGCCTTGATGTAGCTTGAATATTGCTGACTATGGCATTCACTAGGTGGTTATGATCTAAATTCTAAGTTTTCTGCTCAGAATGTCAAAGTGTCGTAATCAAATTGGCATGAAGTTTTCCACAAAATAAAATACCTTGTCACTGAATAGTAGTGCTGGTACATGGCAGGTTGGTACATATGTCATGGAAGATATGCAGTATGTTCTAATGCATGGCTTTGTTTTCAGCAAGACCCAAATTCCATTGACAGATTTCACATCCTATTTTCAGATGATCATTCTTACAGGTTTTACATTTTTGGTCCGTAGGCTTTACTTGGACCATTTAGGATAAAATGTTTTACCTTTATTGCACACAAATAACTTTGTACATATTCTATACTTCTTTTATTTATCGAAAATCAGTATATACAAACCAGTTAAAAAGTTTATATTATTTTATGGTAACATGATAAAATAAAGACCAATTCAGTCATTGCACATGCATAATCTTGATTATTTTTCATGTGCATAATACATTGTATCTTGACTTTGAATTAATATTGAAATCTCTATTCACTTTTATACCACATGGCCAGTACTGACCAACAATGTCTATGTCCATTCCAGGTCCAACTACAGCCGGGGTACAGATTCTTCACATAGCCATAGGGACGTCCATATCTTCATTTTTCTGTATCATCCTTTTAATATGTGGATTTTACCACCGACGGAAATTTCGCTCAGAAAGGACTCCTCCTGATCATGATCATGTAGAAGTAAGATATGTGTCTGCTCCGACAGGGTGCAACACAACAGACAGACTCCTCATGGAGGAGAAGACTCAAGAGAGTCCTCGGTGTCAGAAGGTCTCTATGGTATGATGGAGGCTCGTTCTAGTGTATATAGGATTCAAATTATATGTTAAACACAGGCAGCAAGCAATTATGTACAACTGGGCACCACCGCTTCCGTGTATGAGTTGATGGCGTATGTTTGGAGTATACTTGTGCAGTACCATTGCAGTATACTTGGAGTCCCCTTTGTGCACATTAACAGTATACTTGAACAGTATTTTAAAGTCATAATTGTGGGGCAACTAAAGCTTTGTGTGGCATGCTGTAGAAAGCCTTCAAAGAAGCGAGATCCCATGTCTGAAGAAATGATCAAGGGAGAACTAGATTTCACCTCCCGTGGAAGAAGGATGTGTTTCTGATTGAAGAGCTCATGGTACCTTTTGCAGTCCAATGAAATGAAAGAAAATCAGAAAACTTTCATTGGCAGTGTACAAATTAGAAGAGAGTGCTTGTAGAATACTGGATATGTTTTGTTTATTCATACAAAAGACAGTACCTTGAAGTTTTCTTGGCACTATCCAATGTACTTAATTTGCACTGTATCAAGGCCAGCTTGTATTGGAATGGTTCCATGTGGAATGTCTATAACATAGACATCAAGAACATTATACTACACTCATTACATTACAACAACCCATTGGTTATGGTGTTTCCACCAAACCCCCAAGTAAGTTGGCATTGCTTAGCTTTCATTATTTAATTGTGATCTCGGCTTCTTCTACATGATATTGAATGAACATTCTTATAGTTTCACACGACCTGGACATTTGACATCAATGTGTATGTCCTCTACTACATTCATCGGTACTTCACTCTATGGTACGTAGGACAAACTTGTTGTCTCTGCGATGCACATTTGGATTATTTAACAATTATGAATGGCTTGATTGGCTGTATATTCTATTGAAATGCATCCTGTTCTACAATAATGGATGAAACCCACAGTTCTTACCTAAATACAAGTGATAAATGACCTGAGTACTATGATAACCCTTGGTCCACTGAACTGAACCTCATGATGACAAGCACATGATCTCCTCGTGAAAGAAAGGTCTATTCATGAGTTTATTCTTGTACTGGACTCCCTTGACATTCAGAACATCTCTAGGACAATGGACTCTCTTGACATTCAGAACATCTCCAGGACAACTGATAACCTGGTCCAGAAACTGATCATTTGTATGTCATCAGTAACCTAGTGCATTTTATATGTACTTGCAACAGAAGTCAGTCCCAGATGTATTACCTACTTCATCCGAATGAAGACCACGAAGTCAGTCAACCCTTAAATGGCAGTACCATATGACAGAAATGACTATGTTGGATCTTGAAATGTAACTTGATGAAAGATCTTTGGAAAGAGTAATATGAAGTATTGTCACCCTGCATGATGGTAGGTACCAAACAGTTACCTCATGTACATGCTGCAAGTCTGAGTACATACGTCAAGTATTACCTCCACGACACACGCATCGGAACAGTTATCCTTCAGTTACTGTACTTCCTGTGGTGGTGGAGTTGAGACAACAAAGGATTCAGATGATTACATTGTATACCTGGCAATTAACAGGAGGAAGTTAATTGTGTTTTGACATATTTATGTGTACAGTTTCAAATGTAAGGAAGAAATGTGTACTGTCAAAATATCCCTACTATTGCACTGGACAGTATTAGTTGATCATTGATGTCCAAGTGTGCAGACTTTTTTTTGTACATGCATATGTGTAAGAGAGACCCAGTGTATGGAGTATGGCCTAGAACAGTGCATGGTAATGTGTGTGCAGATGTGTAGAAATATGTTGTGTATGTACATTAACAGTACACAGGGAACAGTATTATTGTTGTGCTGTCAGAGTACATGTACAAAGGGTTTAGTTGATCATGACCAGTATGCATAGGCAGGACCCCTTTAAGAAGGCACTGAAGAAAAGGTGAACTGTGCTTGACCTATGTATGATTGCCACATGCAATCTGGCCTATTACTGCTTCTGGTCATGGATTGCCTGACATATGTCTGATTGTCACACGCAGTTCGGCCTATTACTTCATCTGGTCATGGATTGTATGGAGGAGTCCTGGCCACGCCACTGTTAATATTTCAGCTATATAATGTGGCCTGCTCAATATTAGAAACCACAAGAAACAGCAGTTAAGGAACATTGGCAGTCGAGTGAGTGAGGCATGCTGGACACAATGGGTATTGGACAGACTCCCACAAGTACAATAAGCTCACATGTGTCTGTGTTAGTATACAGATGTGTTGGTCCTGAGGATGAGAATATATTGAGCTGTTCTGTGGACAGATAGGATGGAGAATGCATGTGTATTTGTTGTTATACTTGTGCATAGGTGGATGATATACAGTTGTTGCTTCTAACTATGTTGCTTGATTGGTATTAATGCTGTATGTATTTTCATGACACTGCCAGACGGAACAACAGAATATCTGGCAATAACTTATCTTTTCATACCAAAGCAATGTAAGATACGAGTGATTTATTGGTCATACATATATCCCTGTTCCACTGTAAATCAGCTTTACTTGATACTGGTATCAATGGTATCTATTTTTTCTTCATTGCCCCCTTTCTGTAATCTATGTTATGGCTTTTCCAGAAAGACAGTTTTAATGAAACTAAACTGTAAGAAACAAAATCTCCCAACCTCAGGAAATGTGGACGCAAATCAGGTAATTTATTTATTGTGGCCTAACAAAAGATATGATATGAAGTAACTTCACTCTGAGAGTTGTCAACCTTGTGTTACAAATGTAGCTGATTTCTGTTCATACTTCGCCCCCTCCAAATACTGGTTATGTTCATCCAGAGTTTAAACTACTCCATGTAGTCGGGGAGATAGTGGTGGTGCTCAACGGAAAGTGTATGGTATGTTTAGCTGGCATTACACTGATATTAGAACAGGAGTATGCTAATTGCTTTGTTACAGTATCCTCTGAGCTGTCAGTCATGTTCTGAGAGAATCGGTAGCAAAATAATCCATCCGTAACATATGGCATTACTTGCTTCAATCCTGTAAATAATCTTGTATATTTGTGCAGATATATGAAAAATACTTCAAGAAAAGTTGTTTTTTTGTGTATATGGGTTGTACTTAGTGAGGTAAACATAGAATTATTTCTAGATTCTATTTTATAGCTCAGCCAATTACTTCTATATCTAAGAATATCTTAATTCTGTTTACTTAGAGTTACATTCTGTTTTCTGTATATGTTCATGACATAAAACTTGGTCATTTGAAGAGATTCTGACCATTACTGTTGTGATGTTGCCGTTGGATGTCAGTAGTTTTAATATGAATACAAACTTATGTTGGAGATTTGGTCTAGTCTTTGCTTCAAAGATAGTGAGTATGTAGTTCTGTAGAGAGTTGTGTGTTTCAGTGAATGATACTGGACACCTCCCATGTGTTAACTGAGATCTGTAGTTAAAGTGATCCTGAGTGAATGAAATATGAAGTTCCTGCATGGACTGTACATGACTGTCTTGACTTTCTCTTGATCAGCTGACTTACAGTATGATCAGCTGTGATATTGATAAATGTGTCCATGATCATTCTTGTGTAGATTCAAATGTCTCCTATTCATGTGTACAGACCATGTGTACAGACAACATGTACAGTTTAACCATCAATTGTACAGAGGAGTGTACATGTGTTATGATGAATTCAAATATTTCTAAACATGAAAACAGTTGTGTGATTCTTCAACCATAAGTCATGTTTATACTTCAGTTTTTTATATGTATAAAGTACATGTCACTTAACAGTTAAATGGTGTCATATTTCAACCCAATGCTCCAGCTTCACCTCATACAGATGCCCTTGCCACACACTGTAACAGAAGGTATCATGTCCAGTTTGTAATAGACACATAACCATGCATTTATAGGATTCATCTGAAGATAATGGAGGCACACAGATATATCATTGTGTACAAATACTACCATGTCCAAGTCCGAAATGTTTAGGTACAAGTGAAATTGATATTGCCTGACACATACATACATGTATTGGCATTGAGGTACACAGCCAACCAAAGGCCACACCTTCATTTATCCGCAGGCTACAGATTTGGTCTTGTATGAATGGCTAATATGTTGTGATCTGTCTCAGACACCCTGACTAATTTGTATAGATTAGGCATTTATTTGACAAAATTATTGTTCCATGAATGTATTGTTTTATAAAACAATTAATTCAAGTCTTTGAAAGGCATTTAGAAGTGATACACATAAGGAAGAGAATATATGGATGTCAACTTGTTTATTATGAGGAACACAAATAGGACTTGTGTTGGTGGTAAAAATGAAGTGTTTCATTTTGATCTTGTGTTATCATTTAATCAATGTTTGGATTGACTATGCCTGAAGCTGAACAATAAGACATGTGGCATTATCTACATACAGACACATGTACAGCACAAGATGCACAGATACATCACATGTGTACAACATTCATTACAAATATATATACATGTACAACACACATTACAGATTGGGATATATACATCAGTCAGGTATGTAATAATGACAAATACTATACAGAACACACAAATCTATATATGGCCATAAACTGGTGGGTTTGAAGCATTCTGATATACATTCTGCGATTTTGATGAATTTGTAAGTCTGCATATTTCCTGCAAATTTCATTTCATGTCTGTTAATTCCCAAAGTCATTTCTGTTTCAAAGTCAAAGAAATCGGGCATCAATTGTGCGAGATGATTATTTTTAGTAAATGTCTTCATTTATGCAAGAGTATTTCTTTATGGTTCAGAAGCTGTAATTCCCATATCAAGAATAAAACAGAGATATTTTAGTCATGTCACAAAACAGTCTACAGAAGTACCTTACATGATCTAAAATAGATTTGTTTCCTAAGTTTGTGTTGTCTATATATCTGACTGTGAGCTTGTGTAGCTTATTGCTCTAAATCTATATGTAACAGTGTCATTGCTCTGTTCAAAAGCGTAATTGTATATTGTAGCAATATCATTCATGTTGCTCTGTCCACTATGCACGCACATCTTCATAGGATCAAGCACTACTATCCATTTAGATTAACAATAACACCCATTTAGGTAAGAGGGAATATTTAAACCACCTGGAAACATGATCATTCTTACCGGTATGTGGTAGTATAAAGAACTATTCAATATGTCATGTCAGTATTTGGAGGACGTCCAATGGAAAGACACTTAGCCCTATGTGTAGAAAACGCACCCATTTTTGAAGCTTTCTTCTCGTATGTGCGAAGTTATGAACTTGGTATTGTGACAACTGAACTGACAGTTTGCTTTAATGACCAACTGCTTGGATGTCCATGTGCTTCCTGCATCTGTTTTACATCATTAATTTTGTAGCAATGCTCATTGAATAGTGACTCACAGCTTAATGGTCATCAGTTACTGTTTGATGTGTCGCTCGAAGTCAGTCAACAGTCAAGGAGCAGTTCAAAATCCAGGGTCGGATTGATGTCTTAATTCCTTAACAGATCTGTAATATTTCCCTCAAATTGACGTTTCAGTGTTTTCTGTTCAAGTAAAACAGCACCAGTTCAAACTGTTGAATGTTACCCTGAAACTAAATGTCCTCATTATTGTACAGACGATGAAGTGGAAGAAAGAGCGTGCCAAAAGATGGTTTGGTCTTGTGTTGACATTGCGGCAATATTTGTTGTGCAGTGCTGTAGGCAATGATACTCCACATGTTTTTCTTTCTTCGAGTCTGCTAAGTTCCAGGGGAGGTGGTGTCTCAGAACTAATGGAATTAAGTTTGTTATCCAATGTCCAACTTTTGAACTGCCTCCTTACTTTGTATTATGATAATTGTTTGAAAAGTGATTGGGACTGAATATCCCTTTTCAAAAACAAGTGTCACTATGAAATATTGAGTGTGTCTCATTGCCTCTGCTTATACGATCATATGACACTCAGGAATAACATTACAACTTGCTGTCAGTGGTTTTTTTAAATGACTAACATTCAGTTTACAAAAGTCTCATAAGGAATGATATGCTGTGTTGATCATGATTACATTAGTACATCTTGACTGAATATTTGCTTTTCGTAAATCATTTCAAGTTCTTGATATATTCATAGCACAAGCTATATATTGCTCATTCACAGAGTTTAACTGTCACTTTTTTTATCAAATCATTTTTATAACAAAGTACAACTTTTTGATGATACATATGTGTTTGCTTCATGATAATTGATTGCCCAGTGAATAGCTAGCATGCAGATTGTGAGGTCAAATTCTGTTTCCTCTGAGAATTACATTTGCGTGAACACTGTTCTTATTGGTGAGGTGTGTCATTGCTAATCATTCTCATTGCCAGTTACTGTATGTCCTATCAAGACCAGGTGACTCGTGTTTATGCTGTTGATTTACTTTGAAGATTAATCTGGGTTGTGTTACTGAATGTGCTGGTGACAACGTTAATGTATACAGGGAAAACGTGAAGATTTCAGGATGATAGCACGTTATATCTGGTCGGATCTGATCAAGTTTCTCCACCATACATTTCCCTTTCAACAAACCTCATTGCTAAGAAACATCTTACACATTTGGTAAAAACATATGTACCGAACAATTTAGGTCTGTGCCCAGCAGATTAACATTTTGTAGTTTAATGTAAATGATAGACTCACATTGAGTTCATTCGAAACATATCAGTCGTCCTTTTTGAAATCAAGTACAGACCTTACCTTGTGTTGAGGGGATGTTATACACTGACAGCTCATACAGCTACCTTGTGTTGAAACAAGGGGGATGTTACACACTGACAGCTCATACAGCTACCTTGTGTTGAAACAAGGGGGGTGTTACACACTGACAGCTCATACAGCTGCTACCTTGTGTTGAAACAAGGGGGATGTTACACACTGACAGCTCCTACAGCTACCTTGTGTTGAAACAAGTGAGATGTTACACACTGACAGCTCATACAGCTACCTTGTGTTGAAACAAGGGGGGTGGTACACACTGACAGCTCCTACAGCTACCTTGTGTTGAAACAAGTGAGATGTTACACACTGACAGCTCATACAGCTACCTTGTGTTGAAACAAGGGGGGTGGTACACACTGACAGCTCATACAGCTACCTTGTGTTGAAACAACAAGGTGTTACACACTGACAGCTCAAACAGCTACCTTGTGTTGAAACAAGGGGGGTGTTACACACCGACAGCTTATACAGCTACCTTGTGTTGAAACAAGGGGGATGTTACACACTGACAGCTCAAACAGCTACCTTGACACTACTTCTTGAACAAATAGAACTTGTGTAGTGAAGTTGACTGTCAAGGAGAGTTTACCGCGGAAGGTGATGGCTCAAATATTAATAATGTGTTAGCCTCACTATGTTTACAGTGAATGTTAGATCCATTTATCTTTTTATTTACATTGGAGGCTTTCATATCGTTAAGAATAGTTTAACAATTCCCTTGACCTCTAACGCATGAAAATAAGCATGAGAATGGAACTGTTTCATGCAGCTGAAACATTATATTCCAATTTACTCTTGTGAGGGATTGATTTTGACAAACATTTGACCATATACTAGACCCATGTACATGTTTGTGTTGTACACTAGACTGAAGACCTATTGTTTTGTTGGTGTTTCCACATTTTGTACATTGTAGATTACTGTTTGGAGCAACGAGATGTGCTGTGTGTATAGAGATTGAATGGTGTATGAATGGTGACAGGTGATTGTTTATTAACATATGACTAATATGTAAAATAAATTTATAAATATTTGCAAAAAAATTTGTTTGTTGTTATGTTTTACAGGAGCAGGGATGGTGAGATGTGTGGACAGGTTCCCATAAGTCTCAGGATTTAAGACAATATTGATTTGTTCCAGAATACACAAGAGACATAATTTTTCATCAGGTTTGACCCCAGAAAACATTCCCTGAGTATTTCTGCGATTCCACAATGTAAAGCCTACTCGGACCTGGAATTTGAACCAACCCACCTGACCCGTGCATGATGCAAGGAAATTTAGACTATAGGGTCACGCATGCCTCTCTCATCGATGCTCTTGATATCAATCACAGGATTGTCTGGTCCATACTCTATTATTTACAGACCACCATCATATATAGCTACAATATTGCTGATGGCGTTAACCAACCAACCAACCAATTTAATGGCAAATGAGATTCTGCACCAGCCCTGTCTTATTAAAGATGGCTCTTAGTGAGGGCTTTACCTTGGTTTATATCTACTTTGTACTGCCAGTCATAATGAAGATGTTGTGCATAGTAATGGTGCTTGCTTTGTGACATTGCTCACTGCTCACTTCTGTATAAACACATGTAAAGAAGCATTTTGACAATTTTTAAGTCATAAAATAATGCATGTTAAAGTATATTAGAATTCTGTCAGAAACCATGCTCCCAACTTCTACATGGGAGTGATAATTCTTGTGTCAGTATTGAAAAAGAATACTGGACACTCTGTGCTGTGACAGTATTTCTTACCAGAATAGAATGAGACAGCTGGGCATAAAGCTGCTATTGCAGTTATATCATGATGTGTCAGCTTGTGGTGTGGGAGGAAAGCTCGAAGTGATGCAGGTCTCAGACATTTACCACTTTGGTGAAATCCAGGTGCATGGGTATGGTGCTGACAAACCTAGAAACATGAGGGCAAATCAGAATTCAACCTACCACCATAGGTATTGTTGTAAGGTTGACAAGAGTGGGGTTTATCCTGTACGCATGTATTCTCTTGTCCTGATGTGTTGTTACGCTTGAAGACATATCATCATATGTGTTGAATGTTGAAACTGTTAATTCAAGCGGAATACAAAACAAAGCAACCTTAAGATAGTTTTAATATCTCAACCTGCCTATTCAATGTTAGCACAGTACCAAAGTACTTCTGTGTAATGCATGTCATCGTATCCCAATTTCGTGGATCGATGCTCATGATGTCAATCACTGGATTGTCTAGTCCAGACTCGATTATTTACAGACCGCCATCATATAGCTGGAATATTGCTGAGTGCAGCGTTAAACAACGAACAAACAAAACAAACTTCTGTGTATACCATATTTATCAGGATGTCACGACATTAGGTGACACCAATGCACAGTCACCAAGTCATTGTATCAAACTGTGTGGAGCTGTTGGTCAGGTCATTGTATCTAACAGTGAGGACCGGTGGTCAGGTCATTGTACTTAACAGTGTAGATCTGGTGGTCAGGTCATTGTACTAACAGTGTAGATCTGGTGGTCAGGTCATTGTATCTAACAGTGTTGATCTGGTGGTCCAGTCATTGTATGTAACAGTGTGGCTCTGGTGGTGAGGTCATTCTAGTCACTCAGTAGATTGTAGCTCAAAATATCAATCACTGGATTATCTGGTCCAGACTTGACTATTTACAGGTCATGGTCATACAGCTGGAATATTGCTGAGAGTGGTGTTAAACCACAAACAGAAAAATGTATAATGTTGTTGGTTTGACATGAGAGGACAATGTAATATTCGAAGGAACTTTATAGAACAATTATTAAAGACCAATGTTAAGCATCACCACATATTCTGAAATGTAAAACAGGGTTCAAAATTAACCATGAGACTCAAGGGTACTTGTCACGTGAAAAGTTGAAAATTTAGGGGGCTTCCTTAATTCAAATACTATAGCAACAAACCTGGAGAGCCCCAGGACCACCTTATTTTCAAACATAAAAACACAATTCATAACATTAAGGATTTCTGTTAATTTCAAACACTGCCTATGATTTTGGCCATTTCTAATGAGAAAAGTAATTTATTAATTTTACTGGCATGAAAAACATATGATTTAAGGTGTCATCTTCCTATGCTGGGCCCTATCTCAGAAAAAGTTGGGTTTTTTAAATTTTAATTTGACTGGCATGAACAATCCGTGAAGATCTGGGTTACAATTGATCCATGCTTGTGGTAAGAAGCGACTGATGGGATTGGGTGGACAGCCCTCGCTGACTCGGTGTATGCATGTCATTGCATCCTAGTTGGTTAATTGATGGGCATGATTTCAATCACCAGACATTATTTACAGATGCTATCATATAGCTGAAATACTGCTGAATGTGGCAGTAAACAACAAACAAACAAAACTTAAATGTACAGCTTTGAGCCCCATAACTCTGCAGCTTCCTCAGCACTACAGTTTCTTGGGAGGTTGGGAAAAGTTAACTTTAATTTAGGTAAAAATAAATTCATAAAAATAGCTGATATTATAAGTCCCATTGTATATTACAGATGATATCAAAGTCTTTCAGTCTGTGGTCTCTGAGAAAAAAAAGTCTGAAAGATTTTTTACCATTTTTTGGAGAAGTGATTTTTTTTTTTCATTCTTCCACCTGGAACAGCTCTGAGTCAAAATGTGTTTCTATATAGCACATCAAGGTTATAGCTTGCTGTGCCCAGTGGATTTTGAGAAGTTATTAAACTTTAGATTACACATAATTGTACTGAGGCAAAGTTACGATCAAAACATGCTATTTACATACCATAGTCAGTGGCTACTCCTATTCAAATTATCTGAACAGATAACACACGTGTAATGGCTAACAACTGCGTGCTTGCTAATTATACCAAACGATACTTTGGAAAGAGAGTTTTTTAAGAAACTTAATGTTGACAATATTAGAGAGATAGCATGCGAGTTTCATCATCGTTGTGGTTTTTTTATGAGAAATAGTCAAAACAACCCAAATTCACACTGGATACACTTACGGCGTATACAAGAATGTTGTTCATGCACAATTAGCTGTCATAATATTAATGAACATTGCTCCATTATTTCCTGGGAGGAGAGAGGATTGACAGTAATGAGCATGTCTTGCCTCGGGCGCTTCCAACAGTGCCTGTTGGTGCAGCCGAATGCAAGTCTTGCTAGATCCGTGTCTACAACTTTATCCATACATGTAAAATATTTTTATAAAGTATTAATAGTGAAGATACTACCTTATGTATCCACGGGCTGATAAGGTATCCCATGACATATCATAGTTTGTTTATACACAGCTAACATCGTCGTTATAATTTCTAAAAATCACTTCCTGGCCGCCATTTTGTTCAAGAAAGTTCAAGGTCGTGTTGGATGGTAGTAGACTTACGCGCGCTTAGTCTCTGAAAATATATAATTTTGAAAGAAACAATTCCATTTAAATTGAAAAGAAGCCCCAGTGAGATGGGAGATTCCTGAACCTGAGGAAAATCTAGATTTGCTATATTTAGGGGTTTTGCATTGCAGAAAGGGCTGGGCGGAAGGGAAAAAATATGTTTTACAGAGAGACATTCTAGGGTCGCACTCCCACACATACAAATCATGTTAATTTTGTCAATATCTCTATTTCCATCTTTTTCATTTGCAGTTTTATACGAGGGTAGGGATGAAGTTTAATATTATTCCACCACTATGAATGTTTGCATATTCTTTTTAAAACAGTGTCAAATAGATATCTGTGTGTGTGAATATAAGAAGAATGTGTGACTCACAGTATTTTCGAGTTTCTTCTAATTACTTTCTGTGCCTGTCAGGTTCACACAGAATAGAATATTTGGAGTTAGTCTCTATGTAATTGTGCAAGTTGCGACACACGCAGAAGGGGGTCAGTTTAGTTGAAATCCCCATATAGTAAATTTCTTTCACAGAGGGCCTGAAACTGGTGACGTCAGGGCTCAAACACATTTTCCTTGCATCTTATAAACATGGCAGTGACTCAGCTATCAGTGGTATCAAGTCAAATCTCAGCTTTGCGTGAAAACCAGCAGGTTTTAAGAAATGTTTACAATCAAAAGGCTTGTGCTTCATGAATTGCATTGCCGGATTTGCATTAATACCATAATTTGTAGGAAGAATTGATTTATGTTGCCAAAACTTTCATGGAAAATGGTTCTGCGTTATGAAGGGAAATTAAAGACAACGTCGCGTGACGTTGATGGCGGGTGTAGTCAGAGAGAATGTGAACTAAAACCTATTGACACTAAACAGAAAAATAAACTTCTAGTTTTTCACAGCCCCTTAAAGTATTTTCGGGGATGTGAAATCATGCCAAACAGTGTTAAACAGGAATACATAATTTACAATGTACAATTTGTGTTTGTGTAACGCCGCACTCAGCAATATTCCAACTATATCACGGCGGTCTGTAAATAATCGAGTCTGGACCAGACAACCCAGTGATTGACATCATAAGCATCAATCCGCGCAATTGGGATGATGACATGTATCAATCAAGTCAGCAAGCCTGACTATCAGATCCCGTTAGTCGCCTCTTACGACAAGTATTGGTTGCTTAAGACCTATACTCTACCGAAATCTTCACTGGTCCAATTATGATATACAATTTGTGAGCAGTAAGGTATAAGTGTCTAGTAGATATATATAACGTATTTCTTCAAATTCCATATTAAGTGGCCGAAAGACTGTATGATTTATTCCCAATTTCTGGGTTTTAAGTGTAGCATAAATCTTCTAAATGACGTTCGTGGTATTACTGTTGAAGCAAACTTTATAAAAAATGGCATGGAGATTCACTGCACATTCAGAAATATCTGTTCAATATCCAGTGGAATATATGGTGTATCTGGTAGCTCTGTAGACCAACTGATTTACATTTATACATCATACGTATTCTGCTGGTACTCGGGTGCCTTATTGTGTTTATAAATGGGGATTACAGTGCTGAAGAAAAAGGACAGAATGGGTCATGTGATTTTTCAGTCAGCCCTTCAAAACATGTGTAAGGACATGCCAAACAATTCT